ATTCCTATGACTAATCGAGGTTTATCAGAGGTTATTTACGTATATGTACACTCGCCTAGCTCCGCGAATAAGAGTCAGCTATGTTGCGATCAGATTCTAGGTGCTCAGTTCCCTGAGTTCACAACGAAAGGATATTGGGTCGCAGTAGCCGTTTAAATGAAGACGAATACCCACATACAGATGTATCTGTTTCCGGACGCTGGTGTCAAATCCACACTCCGAAGCGGTTTTGAGAATGGAGTAAAGGGAGCATTTGTTCCATGTAAAACGGGATTTTGTCAAGCATATATAAAGGACGATTAAGGCTAATGTGAAGCGATGGCGAAGCAGGTAAGTGCTATCGCTAAATTTATGGTAAAAGCCTCAAGACAGTTCTACACCTCCCATTCACTAAATGCAACCCTTGTTAGCTATAAAGAGTGAAACCCTGTCCTGACCTCTCCTGACCAGAAGAGCTTCATCTTACAAAACCTTGGACTGCTTCCTGCATTATGGGTAAATAAAGGTAAAATATAGGAATGACTCATCATATCAAGAACCATCTTTCTAGAAGAAAACGCTTAATGACTTTGAAGAAGTTCTGCAGCATACGAACCTTAAGCTAATGAATTCGTGAAACTGATGTGATTCGTGAAACAATAAGATGTAACAATTGATGGGCCGTTCATGACCACACGACATCGAAATTCAAAGTGTTTGGAACAGAAGTGTTTTTTACAATGTAGGCAATACGTTAGAAATGACATTACACTCGTAAAGCATTTCGGCCTTTACGGGGTAGTAACGCACGTAAATGACGTGCCGAATTATGAGGGTAGAGCATTCTAATACATTTTGTTTCTATCAACAAAAAGGGTCGAACCCTTCGCTGAATCAGAGTGTTCTGCAACGGTTTGAAAATGGTGCATCCACCCTGGAAGTGGGAGCGGTCGTATCTTACTTGTTAAAGAAACAAGGCTCCTGCAACAATACGCGAGCAGCAACATCAAGCGCAACGGGGGTGACTAACATAGAAAAACTTCATTTCGAGCAGACTTTATATGTATTACTGAACGTTATCATACATAGCAACTATTCGATATCGTAAGATGTTGAGATCCGGAGAGGGCGATACAGCAGCTTTTATGAAAGACAGTTTCCAAGTTTTTTTTATGGGGAGCTAGTGCTGCAGATAATCAATTGGAGGTGTAAAACAATTTTCCAAGGCTTAAACTACACTTTATGAAACGCGTCGCAAGGTGATGCGCATGGGGTTAAAACCCTCCCGCCATGTCTACGAGTCCATTGACTCCCTTGCGGCGTCGCCACCCATGCTAATACAAAATTTCATATCACATGGAAAGAATGCTTCCGTATTCTCGTTCCCGTTCCGTTTTCCTCGCCCTCTTCGTTTCGCGAACTCGTGGGAAACGTGGGTTCGAATTAGCGTTTGAAGATACATGTATGGCATACAAAATTCTTCATGCGGGGGTATCACGTACTTTCTGGAATATCACTACGAGAATCTGACCTTTGGGCTAACAGCTTTACGGTAGATGGCTTGATTTTTCAGAACATCCCATCAGTAAGACTCTGGACCGATTATTATTTGAATATCCCTCTTCTCCAATGTCTCGTTCAGTCCTCGTCCTCGTCAAGGATAGAAACAAATTGTTCAGAAAACCTCTTTCAGTGAAGCTTTCTTAAGCGCATTGTCTTGTTATAATTAATCCTGGTTAACTATTATTTATATCATCTCCACGTAGAGGTCTCCTAATCTTGGCATGAATGAAGCTTGATGAAGTCCATGTTCCAAGCTTTCATGAGGTTTTTATTACAAATTTTTTGGCTAACGTTTCGGCGGTTTCGTCTTTTTCAGAGCAATGGTTGAAAAGCAATTTGTTGATAACCATTCATACTTCTCCAGCCTCAGCCTGAACAAGTCTCGATAGGATGCCAACCAAGTCCGCTTCAGTGACGACCAGTTATCAAAACGACACGAGTGACACGTGCCTTTTGTTAACCCAAACAGTTTAGCTCTGAATCATCTGAATACATAGGTGGGACAAATACGATGGCTGAATCCTAGATTTTTTTCAGGAACCTGCCGCACCATCTGTTGTCTGGCTTGCAGGTAGGTAATGATCCTCTCTTTTTCCTCTTCTTTTTCTTTCTTTTCTTTTTTTTCTTTCCTCTCCTCTCCCTTAGGTAATGATCCTCTCTTTTTAAATGTGTCCCGCCAGCCAGTTGTCGATGTTATCGGCAAAATTTTCCTGGCGCCTACTCATCTGCATCCATTCAAACTCAACGCTCGTCACTTTTGAGCTCAGCGTGTAAACTAACAAGTGTTCCGCCTATAACCTATGCCCGCTCTGATGTGGCGTATGTGTTTGATGGAGTAGAAGATTGTTACTACAGGCATCATTTGGGCTTGAACTTTTGCTTCCGGATATAAGAAACTGAAGTACCCATACACAAATCTCCTTGACTGTTTCAGTTCTCTGGGCACAATTCAGTCAAAGGTCTCAGCCAGTTGGGTAGATCGACAATGGTCTCTGTGTCGACGTCTCACTTCTTCGAGAGCAGAGTGAACACTGTAGTACCACCGAGGGTTTCCCTTGTACCCATTCTTTCTTTATTGAAGATCAGCAGTAAGTTTTCGGCATTACATGGAGAACGCCGTGCCATCTGAATGTTGATCCAGTTCATGATGAGTATGAGCAGCAGGTCCCTTCTCATGACGCCGCCCTATTTGAAAGGTCTGCGTCAACTCTGGCTGTGCTGTAACGTAATTGACTGAACCAGCTCCCGATCAAAGCAACGTCGATGAAAAAGCAATTTTCTTTTTCTCACCATTCCGTTAAACCTATACGAACTTTTGAATGAGATGGCATAATCCTCTACACCATACTTGGTCTTTTCACTCGAAGAGATACGTGAAATTCTTGTGGGCCCCCTGGGCAGCTTACCAGTGTAGTCAAATCAAGAGTGTTACAGAACACTTCAGGTCACCGATCCCTGTTCACAATCTGTGCTGAAGCATTCAACTACAGTCATTAAAGTAGGAGTTTCTAGAAACTTTTAAGTAGTTTTGCTGACTGAAAAAGGGTATTTTGTAAAGATACACATGGATTGGTGTAACGCGTGTGTGATAGTAGGGGGGAGAAGGAAAAGAAAGAAAAAACTTGACTCACAGTGTGATTTTACGTTGATGCGTTTGGAAAAGAAGTACAGACATAATGAGGCAAATGCAGTTCACTGGCAGCAGAGCGGCGGTGGCGATGCTGACATCGACTGAAATATTAGAATCTCAGAACTGATCATGTGCAAGCGAATATGGCGGAATCTCACCCATTGACGACAGGGGCACATTTAGGCACGATAGTAGCTGTTCTGTGGATACTGCATCTCGAAAAACATACAGAACGGTGAGGATGGCCAATGGGAACTGAAAATGAGTGTTGCAAGATTGAAAATTAAAAATGGGAACTGAAAATGAGTGTTGCAAGATTGAAAATTAAATCCACTTCAACTCAGGAGAAACAGAGGCGAGGTTTCGAAACTAGAAATGCCCTCATGAGGAAATAAAATGCTTTGGATGCAGAGCATCACAGGGCACCACCTCATTCAAATACTTGGTCAGTCATACACATATGGGGAATCGAAAGACGGCTACTGGCATAGTTAGGCGACTTGTTGGCTGCTTACCTAGCTGTATAATCACAACAATCTGATCGAACCAGGATCACAACCGAATTACTGTAAGTACCGGGCCCCTGAACGGATCTCAGTTTCTACCTACTGGAGCCTGATTTTTGGAAAGTGTCCACTTTGCCGTCGGGCAGGGAATAGTGCTGCGTAGGCAGGCAAATATTGCTGACTGCTTGCTGAAGGCCGCATTTTGTTCCGTTTTTTTCAGTATTATGAGGTCTAGGTAATAGAACAAGAATGAGCGCATCTCGAATTCGTAACTTTTCAGAAAACTGAAGTAAAAAAAAGAAATTGTTCAGAAATCTGACCTCAATTATGAGCAGTGTAGCGAGGATGTAGTTCTGAGCAGATTTGTACGATACATATAAGTTGTCTATGAGTCGATCGACGTACATGAAGTACTGACTGAGGACCAAGATGAACATACAAAAGGCGAATGCGTATCGGAACGGGGCGCAAAACGAGACCGTATTCCGCACGCTACAAGGATCGTCCTCGGTTGCATGAAAGGATTGCACCAAGTGTAAAACCTGAAGTAAACAGTCATCAACCCTACACAGTCTAGTTCATACTAATTGTACCCTTAGATTTTCTCTTTCCTAGCTCGGAGGCAAGGATGTCTTACAACTTCCTTTTTTTTTCTTAGCATGAAAGTGTCCTATGAGCTACAGGATGCACGTTCCAAAACCTCACTCCCAATGGTATAAACCCGTAAAAAATGTATGTGGTAGCCCTAAGGACCACTCCCTGATGTTTTGCGAAAATTTGTTGCGTCATCTTGTCTTTCAGGGCTCTCTCGTCTCTCTGTCATGAAACTGTTTGCCTTTCACCATCTAAACCCCTCATCCCTCGAACCCTAACCTTCTCATTTGCACATTCTCCATACACACTTTGTTGGCCCATTGTTTATTGTTTATTGTTTACTGGTTAGTACGTCATTCGACATGCCGTCAAAAACATAAATATGACGCGTAGAGACAAAAACTCAAACTGAAG